TTTGCAAGCCCTAACTCTAGTCAATGAACTTCAGCAAGCTATAATTCCAAATTTTATTAACCACTTCACTCAAACTTTTGAATAAAAATGCCATTATAATTCTTTTACATGCTCAAAAAAATTCAATCCAATCCAACTTACAAATTGTGAAAAAACATCCAAAAAAACTACACTAATGTCACTCAACCACCAACTCAAAAATTGATGCAGATATTCTAGCAACAATTTCTCTTTCTCCAACTATTAACTAAAATTCAAAATTGGTATGTAGCTTCATCTTTAAGTCTTCTAATATTATGCCAAATTTCACCTTGTTCCAACTCATAGAACTTTAGGTATCATAGAAATCCTACCTAATCTCAAACTGCAAACTTTTGGTATCTTCTTATATCAAAAACCAGATATCTTTCAATTGCACAATTAGATTAAAAAAAAATTATATACACACTTAGTACACTCAATAAAATAATTACTATCAAATTTTAAATTATAGATATAATACCAATTGTACAAACTAGCCAAAAATGCTAGCCCTAATTATATTGTACAAATCCAAAGTCACCAATATAAACCTTGATTTTGAATAACAATTAAAAAGTTATTCCAAATCCTATAAAAACAAGCCTTATGTCTTCAGAAGAAGCTTAAAGTCAACTCTCTAATTCTAATTTTTGATCTCCAAATCTTTTTATATTTTTTGCAAAGTGGCCATTTTAGTAGCTAGAGGTTTAATTTCAACCCTGTCCTACAAACGATCTACTTCCAAGTATCAATCCAACCTATCCTAGAAGTTTTTTAGTCTGGCCCTATGTTCAATTTAATCCTACTATCAATCATACTAATTATTTAATTTTTTTGTCCTATTTTTATTAATTTATGGCCTTTTTAAGGTAATAAAAGAGTTTCTATAACCTAGAAGATAAAATTATTAACCAATCTTTAATCTAATAGCTATTAAGACAAGAAAATAAACTAAGAGGCTTTTATAAAAGCCATGTTTAAATATCTTTAATAATTATTGAATCAAGATGATTAAATATTAATTAAAATTTTATTTTTTATTATATTTTTATCATATAGTCATGTTACAATATGACACTAGAAGTATATGATTTCTAATATAAATCACTTTTTGTTCCATGTAAATTATTCAAAAGATATTTTTTAAAATTTATTTTTCTAAAAGCAATCTTATAAGGTGTATTAGACAAGAAATTCATTCTATGCTCTAAGCTCTGTCAAGTTGTGGCCAATAGTAGATTGGCCGCCTTATTTATCATCTAGATGTTTGATTATATTCAAGTCTCTTCTAAAAATCTAGAGTGCTTGAAGGAGATTATGCTAAAAAATCTTATTTTATAATTGTGTCATTAAGCCAATATAGTTAAAAGCATAAATATTGACTATTTCCAATTTGATGTAGAAAGTCCATTGTAATGTGACAAATTTGGTCCTACCTTTTATAATCACTATATGTTTATAGATCAAACCTACAAACTTAACCTAAAAGAGGATGCTTGTCCCTTCCTTGAAGTTGTCATTATTTGCACATTAGATAGCATCATTCTATAAAGATAAATTATTTTTGTATTTGACTTACTTAATATGTTTTTTTTCTTCCTCTAATGAGAGCTTATGTTCTTGGACCAAAAAGATATCTGATCAGAGGTGATATTTTTGGAAAAAATATCTAACCTTGTATGACTTATATATATTTATGATTTCTCTTTTAACTTCTTATAGATTCAATAATGCAATCATAATGTAATTAGACATCTATAATATCCATTTGTAGAGTCTTAGACTTCTCTTTATCTATTCAATTAGAAGTTGTTGGTATTTTGGCATGCATCTGTTAATTCATATATGTGAAAATCTTAATAGGTTATATTCAAGAAAAACAATTAAAATGTTGGTTTTGATGTTCCACAATTCTTTATAATGTTGCAAGAATCATAATATGTATTTTTGAAGGAACAAAGAGAAGAGATTTCATTAAAAATGACATGTAGTTTTTATTGTGCATATGCCCTTCTTATACCAAATAAGTACAATGATGGTATAAAGTGATACACTTAGTATTGATTGTATTTAAGAGTATAACCAACAAGCATCTTCTTAAGATTTAAGTGGATTTATGTGCTTATGTTTCAATACGATTTGTCTCCAAAGGTATACTATAGTTTTATTGACTATGTGAATTTATACCAATTTGATGGTCCATGTTTTTTTTTCTAGTCCATGTATTAGATAGAACAATGTATGTAACTTCTTAGTTGGATCTATTATTTTGACAAGGACTTTTAAGAAACATTCTTTGTAGCTATAAAATATAGGAAATATTATTATAAAAAATATTCTATTTGAAGACTTATCAAGTATAAATGTAGATTAGAAGTTGTTGTAGAGTAGTGAGTTACTATATCCATAAGCTCCCAACAATGGAAATGTATGTGCAATAGATTAGTTAGTATATTAATCTTGTTTTAGCTGCCAAAGAAAGTTTTGTGGTTTAGTAATGTTTTTTTTCATTTGATTGAAGTGATTCAACGCAAGATGATCTTAGAACTTATCAAGTAGGTTTAAAGAGGTAGAGATTGTCTTTCTTTTTCTAGTGCCATATTGGTAGTGTCTCTTGCTAAGACATTTAGTAGTTGGTCTTTTGGGAACTAGGTATTTTTTTTTACCATAAAGTTGAAGGAGTAATAATAGTTGCATTAAGAGATAAGGCCATTTTATTCTAATGTATATTGAATTATCCCTTCACCATCTAATATGGATAGTATGATAGATTAAAGGAGGGACTTCATGTTGTCTGTTAAAATATAAACTCTTGTTAGGAATGTGTCTACATCATCCACAAATAGAATCTTACAAAAAACCTCAAAGGTTTCTTCAAAGAATTCTTAGATCTGTAGGAATTGTAGAAATTTACAAATTTGGCTCCATATTTTGATTTTGAGATTGGTTTTATTGAAAAAATATATATATATTAAAATAGACAAATCAATTTTAGAAATTAATATCTCGTCTTTTTAATGGATATCTTTTTTCAGCCAAAGTCTATCTCTAATCTTCTTCATGTATGAATTGGATCTCAAAATAGTTATTAGATCTAATTGTTAATAGGCAAAAAGACGTGTAGAGTTTTGTTTTGGCCCATGTGGCAAGCTTCTTTGCTCCTAGGATATGGCCAAAAATGCATTTGAATACCATGAAGTTTGCTAGGCAATTTATTGTCTCTTTGTGGGAGTATAGACAATTTGATGGTATTGTGATTTTGCAATGGTAGGATCTCTTGTAGTTGTCTTATACTTTGTTATTTTTTGTAAGGTATTGTGGTTCTATTGGTACTATGGTTTGATAATTTGGTTGCAATTGTGGGAGGTTTGGAGCCTCTTTAGGGGGAGAAGGTAAATCCTCTAATATCTTACAAATCTCCTTAAGTGGTAGAATGTGACCTTAGTAGTATTGGAGGTGTGCCTATAAGAATTTTGTAATGTTTGGAACTACTCTTAAGACTAATTCTATGACTTTATCATATTTTGAGTTAGTAAAGACTAGACCTAGATGTGGATATTTCTTTAAAAGACATTGCCAGGCTTTCAATGTATCTACTTTCGAATAGCCATGAATATCTTGAGTTCTGAGTCGATGTTGTATTTTGGAGGGACCCAGTCCTCCTTGCTAGGGAGAGATGTTAGAGCCAAAGTGTTTCCCATGTATGGAAAAAACTGTACCCGCAAGATTTGCACAACTTAGGCTGAGGTAAGGAATTCGACTTCTTCCAAAACATCTAATACATTTAACAGCTGGTGGGAAGGATCGGAGTTTACTTGAGAATGGGCCAAAGTCCAATACCTTAGTGTGCCTATTACGTGTGCTGTGTCCGTCGAGGGTTGCTCTCTGTCCGGGTGTGTCTCTTTGGGGACACCACAAATGTATGTGTTGGTCCTGGGCATATCCCTAATTCTCAGTAAGTCGGATCTAGATCTGATGTTCGAAGTACCATTAGGCGCTCTCCTCACCCAAATAGATTCTTGCAGTTACATTGGCTTCTCTTGAGGTGATTTCTCTTCCATGCTACCGCATGCCCCTACTACTACTGCTTGAGTGGCAATGGATTTGTCCTTTAGTAGTGCTCTAGCCCAACCAGCTATCAAATTCATGTCCATTCTAACTAAGTCGACTTGCAGTTAATGCAAAATGTTATGCTAGGATGCACTTTGCAACACTGATGATAGCACATAACAAAAAACCTGACTTAGTACACAAAATTCTATCGGATCGTCATTCCTAGAATTCCGGATCGAGGACTAGAGAGCGTCTCCGAATTTCACGGAGACCCAGCCCAGCTCAAAAAACCGGCAAAGACCATTCCATCACAGTCGTTGTTTCCACATTGATGAAACAACAGATTTGAGACAACCTGTCAATGAAAAAGTCCGACTGCAAATTCTATAAACATGACACCCAGGGTCAATTCCTTACAGCTCAGTCAAAAAAGGTCACCTGTTTCACGAGCCATTTAAGCAAGGGGCAGGACATGGGAGCACCTGGGGCTTCAGCTGCACTTCGCGTGCAGTTTCGAATAAATTTCTGTAGGCAGACAAGTCGTGCATTACTGTCGATTTGATTAATACTGCTGAAGGTCTCCAAGCAGCATGGAGAGCCCTAAACCAAACGAACTTAATATCAAATTCATTGCACATGATGAGAATAATCAGGGCATTTTCCTGTATTTGGAAACTCTATTTAAGCTTGAGACGAAGCACTCGACACTGCATTAGAGTCACTCTTACAGGCTCATGTCACTCGTACAGGCAATGGACTATCATGGTGACATTGAGACTGGTAGTTACTCTCACGACTTTGTCAGTGGGGTTTCATCATGTGTAAGACGCAGCGAAGATTGGCGAACGAAATGCATTCACGAATAGATTTGAGAATAGCAAGGAATAGGACAAAACGAGACAGCAGAAGAGATCAATACGCGCACAGATGAAACAGTCGGTGATGATTGAACCACACCCATAAAAATTTCAAAGGATCACCGCCGCGTATTGAGATCTGTTCCAAATTCTGCAGTGTTCATCATAGATTGAGAAAATTCTGGTTTAACGCTCATAAAATCTACTCGAACCCTCACAATGTTTGTGGAGGTTCGCAATCATTTAATAGCCCTCGGACAAAATCTACAAAATCATTCTAAGTTGTAATCACATGATTACACCATGAATTGGCAAGCAGAATATGACGTTGGCAGGTGAACAACCTCACAGTTAAGTATTGTACAAGACAAGGGGCTGTCGTCAGAAATCTACACTGTTGACACACAGCTATTCCTCATCATCAGAGTTGTCTCCGCTGTAAGAGCTGGTCCCTTGTCGGACACTACGCTTTGACTGTGAAGCTACAGGGCGCGCAACTCGGCCTTCTGCACCATAAATAACACCGGACTTTGCTAACCTATCCTCAAGATCCTCCGTGCTGAAGTCGTCCGTACCTCCAAGCTCATCAAATCCAACCTGCTCAGCGCAAAAGACGTCAATGATATGCGAAAAGTCAATTTTTTCTATACAAAGGATACAAATGACATTTGCCTAAGACAAACGGTCCATTGTGCTGATTCAGTCTGGTTCAAGGTCCAGACTCTCCTTTACTGCTAGAGCCCCAAGCTGTTTTGTTCGAGAACGTTAACCGTACGAGTGGTGAACAAAGCTGGAAAACTTGCAAAAAGTGGCCATTAAGGCATTAAGGCAGGAGATCCACGGGAGAATCAACTCGGGTAAGATTATATTTGATAGATACAGAATAGAAAACATCAGGAGTTTCAATAAAGTCATACCACATAATCCTCCACTTTGCCCTTCTTCACCAATGCGAGAGTTGGCAGCATAAAGATCTTCAATCTTTCTGTGAGGAAAGGGCTTTTCTCCGCGTTGATCTTCAAAAATTTCGTCTCCAAGTGCTGCTTGGTAAGCACTAACAAATGCTTGTCCATCACCTACAGAAGAAAAAATCAAACTCATTATAATTAACTAGATAAAAGTAGTCCTTTTCAGCGGCTACACGAAACAAAAAGACAGATTAACGCGATTAGACAAATATAGTGCATACAGCGAAGCTACCAGTCTTTAAAGCACTAGAGCCCAAATATGTTTGTATACACCCTCGGAACCTTCACAGATGCTTCTCATGCAAATTATAAAAACGTTCACACAACTAGTTCTACGTAGGATTAGCGCCAAGGTTACAAATGAACATCAACAGGGCTCGCACCTTGCACGGCCAATTCTCGCGATAAAAGTGGCATACAACGCGATCACTTGTCTTCACTTTCGCAAAGAAGTCTTTCTCATTGAAAATCTCCTGGTATTCACCATGTCCTTGTCCCAGCCATTGCTGCCGCATGGTTGCTTGCTTCTTTAGCTGTTGAATTCTTTTCTCACGTAACCTCTCTAGGTCGTCATCCTCTAACTTGTCCAGCTTTGCTAATTCGTCATCTAGTTGGTCTTCTATAGCTTTTGCGGCAGTTGCCAAAGTTTCCTCAAGAACCTAGCCATCACAAACACGATTTGGTGGGTAAGAAGAAGAATAGATTGACCATCACATGTAATCCAGAGCCAAAACTGCGGACTACGCTATCTATAGTCGCTAAGTCTTGAAACCTCATTAGTGCAGTACGATTTCAAATTCACAAAAGTTAGAATGCGGCGTTCCGTAGTTCATCTCAACTGCTTCAGTTGAAAAAAGACGCAGACTAAGTTCACTTCAAATGAACATCACGACTGTATCATACGGGCAGCCACGAGACGAAGATGCGACCAAAATGCAAGGACATACAAGCTATTTCGGAAGCTACGAAAATATTGCTGAGGCACCTGCTGAACTCCCAGGGGGAAATCAATGCTTCCAGTTAGTCAAGAGTCGGTGCTACTTCATGTTGCCATGGGTCCCAGTCTCACTGACACGGTAGTGTAACATTCATGATCGTAAATAACGGATACGTACCTTTTGGATCGCACCGGCAGGGGCCGCCATGATGTATGGCAAGCTTTGCTATGGACACCTTAACTCCCGAACTGCAAAAGAAACGCAGCATTCATAAATCGTTAGCTGGAAAACAGCCTATATTCTTCTCTAATCAACAGATCTCCACGCTCAGGAAAAAAAACAAAAAAAAAAAAACCAAAAACAAAACAAAAACCACCAATTCACCGCAACTATCAAGGCCTCCAACACGACACAGGGAAAATCCCAACATTCAGAATGCAAAAACAAGCTTGGATATCACCTAATATGTCAGCACCACTCGAACTCACCGCAATGTCGTTAACACAGCTCATACAGCTTCTACGTATGAGAATCGCAAGAAAAAGCACGGAAAGAGCCAGAAAAACAACTGCGATTTAATCACAAGAAACGCCATACACAAGCGTGTCTCACCCCTAGGATCTCTTACCTCCACGCAACATAGACTGAGAAAAAAAAGTAGCAACAAGTAACGGATTCTCGTCACAAAACATTCGAAAGAAAGAAAAATACAACAGCAACACAGATCTGCACATTAGAAACGTACGAGGGGGCAAAATGCGAAGCTAGAGGAGCCACGAAGGTCCGATCGATCGCCAAACCCTAAAAAGCAGCAGCAGCACCGTAGCTGCTGTAAAGCAGTTATGAAAGAGCCCGCTAGGCCTTGTGGATGCTGGAGGACAGTTCTGGGCGGAATTGCCCGACTCGGTAACTTTTCCATGTCCATTTTCAGGCATATTGTTACAAGTGTCACGGTGTGCCAATTGGATTAGTTAAACTTACTACAATTTTGTAACCAATTATCTTTTAAGGAAGTTCAAAATTTGGACATTGTGTTAATAATTTGCACTTGTATTTTCTTGAAAAATTGGTTTAGTTAGATGATTTTCTTCTCCCATTTCAAAAACCATCTTTTGTGTATGTATATATATATATATATATATATATTAGTAGAAACTTGTGTTGTTGGGCATAGAAAAGTTGTAAAAGCTTCTAGGAGCTATCTCTTCCAAACTATAAGGCCTCTAAAAGCCTCACCTTCATGTTTATATGTTTTTTGCATTCCCAAAGTGCAAATGTATTTACATTACCACGTTTCTTGAGTTTTCCATATTCCGTATATCATGGCCAATGAGAAGGTTTCTTTATTTCTATGTTTAATACCCAAGTTTTTTTGTATAATACTAGCAAAATCCCATGCCATTGGGCACTATAATTTTTGGCACATCCATTCATTCCCTTGTTCATCCATGCTTCATGGTTCTCTATGTTTCTTCACATTTCTTTCTTCACAACCAATTAGAAGACTTCATTGTCTCTTTGTGTTATATCCAAGTTTTCTTATATATATATATATATATATATATATATATTAGTGGAAATCCATTGTCATATGACATGATTTTCTATCTAGGAATACACTAGGTATCTAGCTGTAGAGAATTTAGCTTTAACTTATTGGCCAAGCTTCAATAAGTGATTTATTCTTATTATAGAAGATAAATAAATGAAGCAATATAGAAAGATATTCTAATAGTAAAACCTTTTATATTTAAGAATTTTTGTACATAAGGTTTTCTAGAGCATCTAAAAATTTCCTAACATCCTTTGCTATATCAAATCATAACTAATCATTTGCCAATAAGTTAGATTTCCAATAAACTCAAAGAAAACCCATAATATCTTTTCAAAAATCCATCTTTATATCATTATTTTTTTCATAGCTCCATATCTCCATCTTTAACATATATATAAAGTCTTTGCTCTCAAAGACCCCTTTATTTTGCAAAAAATCTCCAAATTATAGCAAAACCTTTTAAATTACATTTTTCCTATAAAAGTATTTTTCTTTCCAAACTTTAAATTTTCATATTTCTTAATTCAATTGTTCAATTTTTTTTTCAAATTTATAGATAATATAACATTTATCTTCAAGCTTTACTACAAAAAAATCAAATCATAAATCTACTACAAATCATCTAGCATCTTAAAAATCCTAGCATGTGCTCTAAACCCTAATTTATAAGCATCCAAATGCTATTTTTTTCATATCTCAAAAATCCAAATACCACAAAATTTGGTATATAGCTTAAAAATATAATAATATATATATTTTAAAAAACTTAGCCAAAGATTTGTCCAAATGCCCAAGATATGGCTGAAATCAAACTCATCATGAAATTGATTCATTGGCAAACCTCAATTTGGAAGCATTGTCTTCAAGCAATCATTGCTCCTCCAAATCAACTTTAAACCTTTTTTTTTTTTTTTTTTGCATGCAAAATTTAGCTCTTTAAACCAAATTTCCAATTGCACAATTCGATCTTCAAAAGCCCTTTATATGTGTGCATTATGCCCCAAAGATTGATAATAGGTACAAAATCAACACCTTAACTTTGAGCGTCTATATCTCCTTTACAAAAACTCCAAATCACATAAAAAATTTGCCAGAATCATATCCAAAATCCCAAACTTGATGATCTTAACCTCTAATGTTCAAATGGTCTCAAAAGAGTAACCTTAATTCCTTATAAAGCCTCAAGCAATCTCCTTGAAGCCCATTGGGCATGACTTTTGGCCAATAAGAATGGAGATTTTCACCATCCATCTCCATTCATCTATATGGTTGGCCTAATTATCTCTTTTTATACAAAATCCCTTCTCTAATCTTTTTTTTAATAAGTTTTATATAATATGTGTCCTAAATATCAAATAAAAGAAACAAAACTAGATTTCAAGAGCCACCAAAGTCTAATAAAGGTGGTTCTAAATATGTAAAAACTATTATCAACATAAAATCAACTTCAATAATAGCCCTTTTAAACTAATTACCTCAAAGTAGTAATCTAATCACATTTTGTAAGCCACTAAAATCTAATAACATGGCTCTCATTACATTATATAAGAAATTATTTATATATATATATATATATATATGCATTATTTTCACAGGGTAACCAAACCACAACATGACACCGTGTCCTTGGCTTCTTGTGTCATGGTTCCATTGTCACAATAAATGTCATGGTAGGTGGGATTGCTATCGGGTCATTCTAATGATTGTTATATGAGTTATTTACACTTTTGGATCTAAAGCACCTCACTAGTCAACATGCCACATTCTTTGACTATTATTTGATGAGTTTGTTTTTTTTTATTTACATACATATATTTGATGAGATTGTTTTTTTTATTTTCATACATATATTTGATGAGTTTGTTCTATTAAGATAAAATTACGTTATATATTATTTTATTTGAAGATATAATTTATTTTAGTAGAATAAATTGAAATATTAAGCTCTTGTTGATATTATTTGACAAAATTTGAAAAGAAATAAAAATATAATTTGTGAAAAATTGTATAAATTTTATCCACTTTTCTTGAAGTTAAATTATAAGTTTTTTAATTAAATTAAAAAAATTCATCTTTATACAAATCTTTGAAACCATTTCATACTAATAAATTGCCAACTTTGTTAATTTCTAATTGTATTGGAAGTTATCATAGCTTTATTGATTAACTTGAATGCAATTTTGTTCAAAATGACATTTAAGCAAGAATGATAACAAATAAATAATAAAATGAATACACAAATTTATGATTCTATTTAGTATATTGTTTAGAGAGTGTATCTTATAATTTACAAATAAGAAGACTTTACATTTTAAGAATTGTTAGGTAGAACTTATTGTATTATGTGGACACCCTATGCTATACACTTTCACAAAAAATAGCTAATTTTTATTTTAAATAAGATTTTTATTTTATTTGTTTGACATTAAAAAATAATTACTTTAATAAAATGTAATATTTTATGATTTTTAATTCAAAAAATTAATTCAACAAAGATTTGCGAGAGTAAATGGAAGGTGAGATAATATGAAACCATAGAATACAAACAAATAAAGATATATCAAATTTCGGTATCAAAATAATAAACATGATAAGAATCATGATTCAAAACAAAACTAGTTCTTTTTCGCAGGGTATGCATGCAAGGATATCCACTGAACAGTCCCCTAGATTTAGATACTCTTGCAATAGACACTCTTATATTGATTTTCATAAAATATTCTACCGGTACTCAAAAGAACAAGTATTCTTCAACCTGGTGTATCTTTTTCAGCTTCATTGCTTTCTCTCAATGAGATGTGCGTAAGACTCAATTGTTTTCATTACCTGAACATATTACAATGCCATCTAACCATGCAACTGCCAAATGTATTGAATGTCTTCAAAAATGATAATCATCATACAATACAGGTTCCAAAAACAGGCCCGACTGGAAGGGCAAGATAAAATTGTATTGCAAATGGGGTACTCTTGAAATGTTGGTTGTCATAGTCATCATCCCGCAACTATTACAAGTATTGATACTACAGCTTCGAAAAGTAAGAATTTACACTGCAAAAGGAAACCTTTGACGGTTCAAGTACCTTACTTAGAAAGCTAAACGTGTGGAACATAAGCATATTACAGTACCTGTATAAGCTAAACCTATGATCTTTAAGTTTACATGGTCATTCCAGTCTGTGGGGCCATAGCCATGCCACGCTTCTTCTCTGGCTTCTCGCAAACAATTGCCTGTGTAGTTAGCACCATACCTGCAACGGATGCAGCGTTCTGGAGACCACATCGAGTGACCTTGGCAGGGTCGATGACACCGGCTTCCAGCAGGTTCTCATACGTATCAGTCATGGCATTGTAGCCCATTGCCCACTCACTGTCAAAAATCTTCTCCACCACGACGGCACCTTCCACTCCAGCGTTTTGAGCAATCAGATTCGCTGGTGCACTCAGGGCCTAAGAGACCAGACCAGACCAGACGAAGGATGAAGTTATTGCCAAGCGTTCTGAAGAAGATTTACGCTTTCTAGTAAAAATTATGTGATGCACTGAAAAGGAACGTTTTCTGACTACAGACAAATTTTGAGAAGCAATATGCTTGGACTGTAACTCACCCTTTGCACAATGTCAGCTCCTATCTTCTCCTCGGAGTCGTCGATAGTCTCCTTGATAGCTGGCACCAAGGCGGACAAATGCACCAACGCAGCACCTCCACCAGGTACAATGCCTTCCTCAATAGCAGCAAAGGTGGCATTCTTAGCATCCTCAATCCTCAGCTTCCTGTCTTCGAGTTCAGTCTCAGTGGCTGCTCCGACTTTGATGACAGCGACTCCTCCGGAAAGCTTTGCAATACGTTCGGAGAGTTTCTCAGTGTCGTATACCGAATCAGTCTCACTCAACTCCTTCTTGATCTGAGCAATACGAGCTTGGATTTCATCCTTGCTCGCAGAATCAGCGATGATGGTGGTGCTTCCATTCCTCACAGTGATCTTCCTTGCGGTACCGAGCTGGTCGAATTCGGTGGTTTCCACCTTCATGCCCAAGTCAGTAGCGATGAACTCCGAACCTGTTCCAGTCACACATACGCATTTACACTTATTTTAATATTAATTCCCCAATAACATGTCTGAAGTGTGGTTTGTGACAGAAAGTCTTCCACTCTCGCGTTCAAATTCGTAATTTGTGTAATTATAAGCTTTGACTGATCAGAAAGCAATAAAGCATACGAATCCAAGATCTAATGCCCAGACGTACACCTGTGAGAATGGCGATGTCCTGCAGAAGAGCTTTACGTCGTTCCCCGAAGCCAGGGGCCTTGATTGCTGCTACTTGAAGGACACCCCTCAACTTGTTGACCACAAGGGTAGCAAGAGCCTCTCCGGTCACATCCTCCGCCACGATGAGAAGGGGTACATTCATTTCGGTGGTCTTCTCCAAAAGAGGAATAATTTCCTTAATAGTTGTAAGTTTCTGGTCAGTGACCAAAACTTTGGCATTTGCAAACTCTACCAAGAGTTTCTCTTGGTTGGTGACGAATTGGGGGGAAATGTAACCCCTGTCAATCTGCAATCAACAATAATTAGTGCTTTCACTCGTCCAAGCCCAGATGAAATCCAGGTCGCTAGAACCGAATTCGTAGACAGCAGCACGGGTTTACCTCAGGGAAAATTACAGCAAAAATTACGTGGATAGTTTCAGATTCGGCTTCAATGAATGGTACAATAAAATGCACATTATAAAGCGGAAATGGTATGCGCAGAGAAGAACCGCGGTTAGTCTCACCTCCATACCCTCCTCCACATCCACAGTGGTCTCGAAAGACGAGGATGACTCAATGGACAGGACACCGTCGGGTCCGACCTTGTCAATGGCATCCGCAATCATGGTACCGATAAGATCGTCGTTTCCAGCAGAGATTGAGGCCACAGCTGCAGTAATAGCATCTTTCAGGTTGAGACATCTTGTGTCACGGCATTGAATTAAAATATTTTTGCGCGTGACAATTGTAATTTGCAAGATGCAGCTTAAACCCAAGTACCTTTGATAGTTTCACGGCCTTCAACAGAGACAGCCCTCTTCTGGAGCTCCTCAATGAGAGCAGCTACAGTTTTGTCAATTCCTTTCTTAATAGCTACTGGGTTGGCTCCTGAGGTCACGCTAAGAAGTCCCATCTTAATGAGCTCTCTAGCGAGAACACAAGCGGTCGTTGTCCCGTCTCCGGCCGAGTCGTTTGTCCTACTGGCGACCTACAGTCAGGAAACAAGCAAGGTCTAATCAACGTCGTTTTCTCGACTAAGGACGTAAACCAATTAACAGCTTACAAAACCACGCATAATACAATTAGACACACATTGCCACGTATTAATCAGATTACAGACGAAGCATTTCCATCAGAGCGTGGAGAGCATTAGCAGAAATATCTGAGTTCATCCACAATGTCATTATCTATTCTTCAAAGCGCCAAAAACTACAAGGTTTAAGGCACCAATTTCGGTAATGAAAGTCGTTTACCTCTCGAATAAGGGAGGCTCCCGCATTTTCCATTGCGTTGGGCAATTCAATCGCTCTAGCAATGGTGACACCATCGTTAATCACCTTCGGTGCACCGAACTCATCCAGGACAACATTGCGACCTGCAGATTCCAACCAGAAACGTCTCATGATTAACTGCCGTTTCGCACAAACCTTATCCAGGTGGTCTTCGCTACAAAATTAAGCACACCAACCACAGATTGTCCATCCATACAAACGGGGCAAATGGTGGTTCAAGCTGTGACGAGTCAGAAGCCCGTAGTCGCATGAGTAAATTTCAGCTGTTACACAACCTCAGGCATCATAATCAGGTCCGAATTCTGAAATACTCAAACTCGTGTTTACTAACCTCGGGGGCCCAGGGTAACCCCAACAGCATCAGCCAGCTTTTCAATTCCAGCTTGCATGGCTGCACGAGAGTCTTGACCAAAATAAATGTCCTTAGAAGCCCTCACAACGAGCCTTGACTTGCTGCTCCTCTTGCCAGAAACTTGACCCTTAACCTTTCCAGCGAGCTGATTGCGTCCTTGCAAGAATCCAACAACACGGATAGTCGACTTCAACGACGCAGCAGCTGGGGCTGGCGCCACTGCCACTGAAGGACCCGCCATCATCCTATTCGCCAGCATTGCATTGGCATCCATGACTCAAATCCTAACAAAACCCCCCCAAAAGCAACACCCACATCCCCAAAAAAAATCTTTAATTCTCCGCCTCGCAACCTCAAACGCAAATACCACCACCCCAATTACCTCCACCACTTCATAAACCCACAATGCACCCACAAAAACACCTCGAAAACCCGCTTCCTACACCCCCAATCCCGAAGCACTCGCAAAGCCCACAACCCTGTCCCACGAAATCAACACCAAAACAGGACTAAAGTTGACGCAACCCAAAAACCCCCAAACCGTCACTAAAGAGAATCACTAAAGAAGATAGATAAAAAACATCCCCAGCTGGGATATTTTAACAAAACCCAATAGAGATCTACGCCCACAAACCTCAAAGAAGACCGCAAGATTGTGGTTTGGGCCGGAGGTGTGCGGGGTCCAAGGATCGCAACGCACTGCAGGATGGGTCGAGAATGCTTGGCCCTTGCGGACTGAATCACCACGGAGCCCCCCCCCTTTCAGCACCCGCTACCGTGTCCTCACATATAGCCGCGGATGGGGTCCTTTCACCGAAGAACTCCCCCGACCGTGTCCTCGTCACTTGATCGAATGTTCGCCATGATGGGAACGCTGTGGACGCCATTGAGAACGTCGTCTCCCAGGCCTTATCCGTTTTCCTTCAACGACGGGAATGGGGTGGTTGTTCCGAGGACCCATACCCGTTGGATGTCTGTTACCGTGTGTTTGGTCCCATGTGGCCACTAGGAATTCCTTTTAAAGTCATTCCTTTTAATGTCATTTTAGAGTAGTTCTAATTAAAATGAATGGGCAAATTTTAAACTAGAATTCCTTTACCCATCATGTATGAGATGATGACTTTTGATTTAATTGTGTTCAAATTTCTGTTGCATTTAGTTTAGTTTTTCATGATATTAAAACCTTCATGCATGTTTAGAAGATAAGATATACATATGTAATGATAAAATAAATTAAATGTAAATAATATTTTTCATAGTGGATTATCAAAAGAAAAATCTAAGGAAAATAATAACAATAAAAGAACATAATATAGGTAAACAGAAATGACCCCCTTATAATTGTTTTGGTTTGTTTGATTTCTATAAATTAATTACACAGTAAACTTCACATAAATGTTTTGAATCATACAAATAAACAAGACTAAGAATATTGCACGTTTAATAGATTTAGATTAAGAACTTTCTTAATTATTATAAATCTATAAAAGTAAGAATAACAAATCTTGTCTAAGCATGATTATGGTGTTTTGTTTAAGTTAGAATACAATCAGTGAATCTACAGAGCAAAAGTATTTCTGTTGAATGGAGGTAAAAAAAATGATGTTAAAATATTACTTCAAATAAATTCCAACATATCCAAATACTAATTCCTACGTGATTTTATTAAAAAAAATAAAAGTAAAAAAAATGATGGAATATTTTTTACTATAATTATTATGAATTTCTTGACTAAATGGTCGTTAAAATTACATTTTAGAATACAACACAGTAACAAAAACATTACGTCTTAAAACAAACCGAATTTAAAAACACATAATGATGAAGACATAATAAATATTTTGATAAAAGTTATGAATTATTTTTTTGATAAATAAAAATAAAAATGCATTCTAACAAATGAAGTGATTTGTTAAACCAACCAAACTAACACATTGTGTTGAACAATATGATGTATTAATTAAAAAATTAAAAAAATCCATTATTTAACAGTATTATAAATAGCTATTAATAATCTTCTTATGTGGGAAAATAACTACGCAAAATTAAAATGTATGCATGTAAATAATTGAACATTTTAATATTTTCAATATTTTTCAAATAATTTCAAAAAATTCAAGTACCGACGTTTCATTAAAGCCAGATATATATATATATATATATATTTAATACACATTTTTACACCAGTATGTGATTACTTTGGTAAACTTTATGATCACTAAGAAAATTAATATCTCAAATGAAACACATGTATGTGTGTATTTACTACAATAAATTTGATTTGTTGACTTCAATCATTCACTACAATAAATTTAGTTACAGTGTTCTATTTTACACATTCAGATCACTTAGTATTGAGTTTATAATGATGTTTTTAAGTCTATGACTGATTTTACATTACTACTTCTAGTTATCAAATTTGTCTTCAAAATGACTAATCGGACACTTTGATTTATAGTGATACTGCAACTACAAAATTACAAAATTATGATACCTTGTAAAAATTGGTTCTCGGCAGATTCTTTAGTTAAATGGAATATAAGGACTGTTGGTAAAATCTGATAATATCTGGTGATGTTTTAATTTACAACATAATATTTTGATTGAATTAATGACTAACTAAATGAAGAAATATATACATATATATATATATATATATATATATATATAGCAAAATGGTATACACTATTTCAAAAATTCTCATAAATGTCACTCACTTGTTTTGACACAACTTTATTCATTTAAAAATCTGGCCAATAAAGAATGTAATTGTGATTTTTTTTTAATTGCTTCTTACATTAATATTGTATAAAAAAAAGTATATTGCTCTACAAACATTTTATATTTTCACTAAAGAAATGAAAAAACATTTGTTGTGTTAATACCATTGCAAACCAATGAAAACAACAATTTTTAACTGACATATTTATCAACAAACATGCACGTTATGTTACATACCGTGCACACATAAATAAATTTATAAATACAATAAGCATGCAAATCAACACAAAATACCTGAAGAGCAAATTAAATAAAAATAACAATAAAACAGTGACCCAAAACAATCTAGGCACTGCTCTCATTTTAACTTTCAATTTCCAGAATTTTAACTATTGATGAATCCCCAATCTTTTGGCATATTACAACTCGATCTTTCACGTTTATAATCCCAGCTGCCTTTCCATGCTCCAAGGCAACCTACAACTCCATCAAACAAACAAAATGTCAGAATCACACTAAATATCATCCACAATAATAAAACCCAAAACTCAAACTAAAAATCAAATATATAATCATTTTAACAATTAGAATGATAATAATAATTGTCACTACATACATGTAATAACCTTGTCATTTCTATGCATGTATATATATATATATATATATATATTGTAATTGCCTTAGTCATATAAATGTAAATATGTGTGTGTGTGTATATATATATATATATATATATAGGAAATTGTTATATTGACCCAAGCATTTACTAAATCAATCCACACATTCTAGCCATCATCAAAAATTCTCCACATCCCTACTAGTCAAAAACCAATATATATATATATATAAAAGTTGGATCCTCAACCAATGATGATAGGTGGGTTGATTTAGTAAATATATGGGTTAACAATTCCCTATATAAATAAATATATATATAAAGAAAAAGAAAAATGAATGAGAAGCATTTTAAATAAGATGCAACATAATAGTTGGATTTTCTTAGTTATGTATGTGTGTATGTATATGTATATATAGAAAGGGGAAACCCATGTTGTTAGGCACATAAATGCATTAAAATTATCTAATGTACAAATAGTAAATTAGAGGTCTTTTAGCACATTATGAACACAACTTTCTGCTGATTAACAATTTTTGTGATATTTGGCTTATTTATGAAAGTTGTTTCTTTATGTTGCTTCTTCATATTTGTTTGTTTGTTTGTTTGTTTTTTTTTTATAATCTTATACTACCTAACTAAGCTGTTTAATTGGACAGAACAGATATGTAATCCTGGTCATTCTTTTACTTACTAGTGTTTATATAGAAATAAATAAATAAATAGAGAGCAGAATTGGAGGAGGGAACCTTCAAAATGGACTCATTGGTGCAGTTGGACGAGGTGTCGGCGGGATGTCGAGGATCCGCGAGCATGGGGAAGAGCCCCCGAGAGATCAAGCACTGCCGGGCTTGAATGGCACCCGTGAAAGTCCACCGCATTTTGTCGGTAGAGAGCCGCGGAATCACCACCACCAGCACGGGCATCGAAGGTCGGTACTTGGACACCAAGCGAGCCACTTTCCCCGACGACGTGAACACAACGATCACCGACGCATTCACCTTGATCGCCGCCTTCACACTGGACGAGGCGATGGATTCGAGATGCGCCATGGGCTCACCGACAAACTTGCACATCTTCTTGAAATGCATCGCCTGGTTGAAGACCTTCTCCGCTTCGCCGCAGATCAACCGCACCGTGGTCACTGATTCCACTGGGTAGTTGCCGCGGTACGTCTCGGCGCCGAGCATGATGCAGTCGGCGCCGTCGAGAACCATGTTGGCGACGTCGGTGGCCTCGGCTCGCGTTGGCCGCGGGCTGTCCACCATGGAATCCACCACGCGGGTGATGATCACTGGTTTGCCTGCGTAATTGCACTTTTTGATGGCGGCTTTCTGGAACACGAACACTTTTTCCGCCGGCACATCAATCCCGAGGTTCCCCCGAGAGAGGATGATGCCGTCCGCCTCTCTTAGAATCTCGTCGAAATGCTCCAACCCTTCCTTGTTCTCGATCTTCGCGTAGACGTGCGTCTGCTTGAGATCTCCCAGTCTGCTTAAGAAGCCGCGCGTGGTTCGCACGTCGTTCGCGTGGCGCGTGTACGAGAGCGACACAAAGTCGATCTGATTCCGCACGCCCCATGTTTCGATCGTCGATCTGTCAGCCTCGGAGAGCGTCGGTAGCCCGATGCGTATCCCGGCCGGAACCGCCGTGAACAGCGTCCCCGTGAGAGTGGCCGTGTTTTTGATCAGGCAATCCACGACGCTGCCATGCGTGTCCTGGACCTCCAACCACACTGACGTCGTTTCGCTCCCTGTGTACAGATACTGCCCGACGAAGATCTCGTCCCGGGGCTTGACCTGGTAACTGAGATCTGCATAGTTGATCGGGAGGATCTTCGACGACGCCACCTCTTTCTTGTCCGGCGAGAGGGTCACCACATCGCCTTGCTTCAGTTCGATGGCTTGATTCGCCGCGTTGTTGATGGAGAGTTCGGGACCGACCGTGTCGAGCATGATAGCGCACAACCGCCGAGTGTTTTTGATGGCGGTTCGAAGATTGTTCAAGGTTTCCTGGTGTTCGGCGTCACTCCCCCATGTGAAATCGAACCGTGCGATCGACATGCCGGCCCGCAACAGTCTCTCCAACATCTCCACTGATCGACATTTGGGTCCCAGGGTGCCAACAATTTTCGTCAACGTCGTGAATGGCCCCGGCGGCGCAGGCTCCAGAATCGAATCAAGCTTGAAAGGCTCTTTCAAAAGCAACAAAGAATGCGGCATTTTCTTCAAATTACAAACTTTGGTGGATACCACAACGTTGATTTGTGGGTCTTAAACTGGGTTAGAATCAATAATCTATGTTGAGTTTTGAGAGGATCAGAGGAGAGTGCGTTTGATTCCAACAAAAGTTACAGATTCTGCAGACGTCTCTGAATCCAAAACCCTAAATATTGCCTAGGTCTCTGTTCTTTCAAAAGCATTACATTCTCACGTATTGATCGATATCACTGTTGCACTTTCTTTTATTGGTTTTAATTTTCTGAATGTCATCATCGGTGATTCTGTAATCTCATGCATGTTCCCATATCAATCCTGTTGCGATGCCATTGATGGCAACCGTTGTTGTAGAATTGTTCCTTTGGGTTTTGAAAATATTTTCAGTCGAAGGATTCGTTTTCCCTGTTCAACATTGTTTTTGTTTAGCTTGTTGAAACCCTTATTTATTTATTCATTTTAAATATTCATAAATTTAAGTTACATTGCAAAATGATTTAAAGAAAAATTAAAGACGAGCAATTGGGTCATCATTTCCTACCACGAAAAACAATTGGTTTGAAACATATTACTTCAGTTGTCAAATTTGTAGAAACAAAAGTCTCTGCACGAATAAGAGATATGTGAGGATATGGTGAAGAGACATAAGAGAGTAAATATCAAACATTCTGTGAAACTCCTGAAAGCAAATCCTCTATTTTTTATTTTTTTTTCAAGAATGATTTTTAATAACACAATTATGATACAATCAAATAAAACTAAAAATACTAGAGTTCTTTGTGTTCTAATTACTTGAAAAGTAATTTGTGCTGGTGTTATTTAATTTCAAGCGATACATAAATTAACTAATTAGATTATACACATGAATTGTAAGTGTTACTAAAGTTTAAATGTAGTAAACACATTGACATGTGTAACATTTTTCAGCAATGTCATATTTTACAATACAATTTCTCATGTTACAAAATGTACTTACAATAATAAAAAAATTAAATCATGAACCCTCTTTGGATTATCACACTTACGAAAAAGTAAAAGAAAAGAATTAAATCTCACATACACAACAACTCATATTCAAGCAACAATACTCATGCGCATTATTGTTTCTTTTGTTTTCTGTGTGTTATTTCAAAGTACTTGGAAATCAAATCACTGTATGTGTCAACATTCCAATCCAATTTAAATTCACCATTTTGAGTATCCCAAACATATCCTTACAACCATGGAGTTAAAATTGTGTTTGTTAATTTATTTTTGCTTTGATACAATTTTCAATCTTGTAAGCATACATTTAAGCATGAAAACAGTTAAATGCATAGATAAATAAAATTCAATGAAGAACTGATGAAGGTTTATTTATTAATTTATTTCATTATTAAATATTATAAAAATATTATTTTGAATTTTTATTGCAAACAATGTTGAAAAATATTCTACAAATAATAACATATAACATTATTGCTTAAAACCAGAACCATAATGTAAATTATCGTCTTTAAAAAGTTTCTTTGTTTTATTTTTTGATTTTCCTTTGTCAGTTTTATCACAAATAACTTAAATTGAATAACTCTAATTGAATATTCAAATTAAGCATTTCAAAAAAGTATTATTTGATAAGTTTTGAATGATTTAACAAGCACTTCAATTGAATGTGCAACATATTCAATCACACCTTTTAAGGGTATCAAAGAATACAAAATGAATTATGTAGATCTTGTTTTTATAAGTAATGTTAAAGCCACGTTTTGTTTTATTTTTTTATCTTCAATTTTTAGAAATTATAAAGAGAAAAGGAAAAATTGATATTTGATATATTGATATTCGATATATTGAACCATCTTGAAAAGGAGAAAGAAATAATAAAACTACATTTATTTCTCTCCTCAAATGCTTCCAAATACATTCAGTATTATTAATCTTTAATTTTGGCATTATGTAAATACGTATTTAAAACTAGACTTTTTATTCTAAACATTGAGAAAAATAGGAATTCATCACCATTTTATTTATATGATAATTTATTTTCAAAGAGCTAAAGCATCAGTTTGAATTAATTGGAGTTTTATTAAGAATTTAAAATTAGAACGTGGTCTAAGCAAAGGATTCTTAAGAGTTCCTTATTTATTTCTAAATTTAAAAAAAAATTATACATTTTTTTTTTTTTTTTTTTTTTTTTTTTTTTTTTTTTTCATTTTTCTTCAAGAAGAGTTTAAGAATGAAAAAAATACAAAAACTTCACTTTGTAGAAGAAATAACCAACAAAAATTAACCTAATGTATAGATGGTTCAATCTTAATTATAAAAGATGAAAAATATTTAACATAAAAATCTTCAAAAGATTTGGTAAGGCATCTAGTTTAGAAATCAATTGGTTAAAATCATTGACATATTTGTAACATTCTTTTAATGTTATATCTACATTGGCTAATCTATATGGATGGATTTGGGTTGATAATAGTGATGCATTCAAATTTATTAAGTCACCATTTAGAATATCTATTCAAACATAAGATATAAATTATTTTATTTTATTTATCAAAAGACTAGAAAAGAAACTTAATTATTAGTGTTAAAACAAATATACATAATTAAAAGAACAATTATTTGTGGTGCTATATCTTTTTATTATTGATAAATTATTTTGTATCAATTTAGGCAAGAGCCTAAATGAGCTATAAGAAAAATAAAGTTTATGATAATAAAGCTCTTTTGGAGTAAGACTTAGGCCCTCACTTGTTTCAAACATGTTTAAAATATTTGATGTAAAACAACAAAAGAAGGAGGTCTTTGAAATATTAATCTTAAAGAAGCAATGGTTGCTCTTCTATCCAAATGGATGATTTTAGCTTTATATCTTAATAACTTTAGCCTTCAAACTTTCTTATGATGTAGACTTATGAATGCATAATCCAAAATTCTAAGAAAACAAAGTCTAAATTATTAATTGGCCTTAATATAAAATCACAAATAAAATATAAGATCTACAATGTAGCTTAGAACTGGAAGAGTTTGATAAAAATGGTTAGAAACCTACAAAGAAATATTCCTATAAGATAAAACATATTAATATAAAGCATATTAATATTGTAGGATTCTTATATTCTACTTATAAAGACTCTTATTAATTTAAATGTGGCATCAAAACCTTACAAAATAGAAATGCAAAGAATCAAGAATTGTAACCAACAAACAAAATATTCTATGATTATGGAAGCAATTAAATGCCAATTTAAATTTATTCAAGGTGATGATAATTTATAAATTTGTTTGACAAATTATTATCTAAGCTCTTGGTGTTTCATATGAAGTGGAGGCATGTAACAACCCAAGTTTAAAGATTGAATTAGAATCTATAGTACAAACAAAGCCCTTCTACCAAATTATGTCATCCAAGTGATTGAGGTTATTAAACTGATTTAAGCTTATACTTGGTTTATTAAGCCTTGCTTAACTAAGTTCAAAACATTTTAAATGGAATAAAAACTAAGAATTAATACCATGACGAGATAGTATTCTTGATACAAATGTGAATCTAATCCAAGTTAAAAATATACAAAAATTTATATATATAGTAAGTATAATATTCTATGAAAAAAAAGAAGAATAAACAAGATGACATTTTTTATACAATTATTGGCTAGAATCTTGACCTCCAAACATACTATTAGAAAAATAAATAAATAAATAAAATCAATATTGTATTTTGCTGAAATAGACCAAATGTTTTTGCAAAAATATTAATCCCTATGGAATTTGATTGAATTTAAATAGAAATTTTTACATCTTAATTATAATATTAATCATAGAAGTATTTGATATTACATACATGTATGTAAGGAAGCTATTTAAATGTAATCAATCTATAATAGGGTAGTTGAAATAAATGTTTGGAGTAATAATCAAATAAAGAAGCATCAAAACAATATCATATAAATATACTTAGCCTTCTAAAGATAGTGATTTGTAGATTTAAAAACTACTCTCAACTTAGATGCATACGAGATTGAGCATCATTATTTATCAATAAAAATTAGCTACAAGGTCCCAAAAGAATAGGGACCTTGAAAAGCACTTTTCTAGTAATACATTATCTTTGTCAAAAAACACATCCCCAACAAATTTAGATGCTTTAGAATGATTTGGACATTGCTTCAAAGCTCTTTGTCTTTGGACAATATGTGGTGCTGATAATATGTGGTGCTGCTCAACACGGATCACAAGCAAATTTCGAGACAGAAATCCGGAGTTCGCACTATTTCAATTGCATCCAGACACGATTCAATCCTGATATTGATAATCTGGTGAGCATTCAGCGTATTTCTACAATGCTGCATCATCTGCTTGCTGCTACAATGGGACTGACAAGTCTGATCAACAACTGCAAATCTGATCGAACAACTCCCTCCCTCGCCGTGATCACCTCGTGGATTGCTCAGTTTCTGCTCCACCGCTGCAGTCTCATTTTGGTTGTTGCTCCCCACCTGACAAGCTCAAAATGTGGAGGTTTTGAACTATGCATTCAACAATACAGTTGTCGTTTTTGAGAAACAGTGAACTTCGTTCAACGAATTTGCTTCCTGTGCTTGTGAATGTGTAGAGAGCAAATCGTTGTTTGAACTCTCTGGGAGGTGGATTTACGGGTTTCTCTGGTTGTTGTTCTCGGTTTCAATAAGGTCCCGGACTTTGAGTGGGTGGCTATTGAATGAATGGCTAGAGCACTTGTTCATCTTCTTCTACTGGGTGGGTTCAGGAATCCGTCCCATCGGGTGTCTCTTCCGGTGTTCATAAAGAGGCCATCTGATGAACTCTAGCGGAAGCAGCTCTAGGGGCCTGAATCCTCTGCATCCTCTCGCTCAATCTGGTGTTTGCTCTACTTCGCTTGTGTGAAAAGATCTACTTTCCCTGAATCTCCTTTACAATTTGATAGACAGCCTACTTCTTCGTCATCTCCTGAGGCGATGAACTCCTTCACCGGCTCAGGACCAGGTTTGGGTTTAATCGTGGACTGTTGGTAAAACACCCCCCCGAAGATGCAAATAAGCAGCCCGAGGGTACCCAACGCGGACGCATGCTTCGTCCAGATCATTAGGTTAATCACCACTGTCAGCAGTTTGTTAACAACCCCCAGCACAGTGAACCCCGTCGCGGAGATCGCTCTCCGACACGAGAATCCGAAAAAGGAGATGGAGAAGCCAAACGCGCAGGAAAGCAGCACCGGGAACCACATTTCGATGCTGAGCCAGTTGAGGGATTCGTCTTCCGTGCGCTTTTTGAGGAGATTACCCTCGCCCATGACGAAGAGCTCGATCGGGAAGAGGAGGAGCGCCTCCAGGTTGTTGTAAAGCACCAATCCCCAAGTGTTGAGCCCCACGGTCATGACGATGTGTTTCACGTACACGAAATCGATGGACATGCTCACGACGTACAAGAAGGCCCAGACGTAGGCGTGGACGGTGAACTGGGAGTCCGTGAAGACGTAGAGAATGGAGCCACCCAGGATGGTGCCGAGCGCCGACCACGTTTTCACGGAAGGCCATGGCTGCTTGAGGAAGATTGTCTCGCCGATGGCCACGAAGATGGGTATCGCGGAGCGGAACACGATGAATGTGTCGACGTTGGCGTGGAGGAGGAGCTCGCTGTTGGTGAACAGGCTTGAGTAGTAACAGATCGCGGCTGGGAGGAATTTCCACATGGTGCTCAAGGAGAGCGGGTCATGGGTCAGAATCTGAAGCTTGCCGAGTATGAAGACGCCGAACGCGGCTGTGAAGTATTGAATAGCTGTGAGGGAGCCCGGATAGGGGAACTGCATGATGGCCCATTTGTTGATGATGGAGAGCAGGGAGGCGGAGAGGCAGTAACCAAAAGCGAGCCCAAGGACCTTGGCATCGCCCACTTGGGTACTCCATGCCTTCGACTCACCGACGTAGGTGGCAAGCCGTTGTATCCAAAATCCGTGGCGGGGTGACTCGGGTGCTAAGAAAGCTTTCGAATCCTCATACGGCGCCATTTCGGGGACGTCAGGTAGCCGGTACTTAGCTGCCATGCTAGCCCTTGCAGAAGAAGAATGGCCCCGCGGCTGAGTCGGAGCTTCTTGAGTGCGCCTGTTGTGCTACTCCTGCGGGAATAAACAAGAACATATCATGCATGAAAATCTGCACACAATTTCGGAGCAAACCTACGCATGCAGCTCGTAAAATGAGAACAGATCTTCGAGAATCGAATAAGCCTTCTGAGATTCTGTACACGAGAGTTGTGAAAGGGTATCGGTGATTGAAACCTCGAGACAACAAGGAAAAAAGAAAACTTTCAGGTTGTTATCGCTCTTTCAAGCAAACGGTCCTCACCATGCAATGTACACGCGGTGATAGACCGGCCCAAGGAAGGTCTTGGTTTTGTGGGTGTTCAATGAGAAGTCATTCCCTTCGTCAGATATGCACACCAACTGTGAACTACAACCCCCTCACGGAACTGCGTCACTGTCCCGCCGTATGTGTTCAATGCTACGGAGAAAAGTTGCCGATTGATAAGAAACCGTCACTACCTGCAATACGAGTCCGGCCGAGTCAGACTACTCGCATCTGTACATGCAGTCTCATGAGACATATTACAAGGTAGAATTCAGGAAACAGAGGAAAAATAAAAACGAAAGTATGCTTTTTCGTCTCGATAAAGCTCTGTTTGGGGCACTCAAAATCAGGGCCAGGTCGTTACGAGGCGAGGTATCAGTCACAGGAATTCGAGTGATCAGGCTTGACTCCAATTTAGTAGCTATGGGGTAAGCTTGACACGAAAATTCTATAAAATTGAATGGAGCAATTCGATGATTGTGTTTTTACGAGTGTAGAACGCGACGAACTGCCTGCTTCTCTTGGTTGGATACTGCGGCAAATGAATTCAAAAGAAGTATCCAATAGAGCTTCAAAAATTTCTTCAGAACTTTACATCGACTTTGATTTAACGACAGGAAGTGCCGCAGTGATCCATTTGCCAGACCAAGCACAACGCTACTGCGCAAAACGACCGACCCTCGAAATCCACCACGACTAACTCTAAACCAAGCTCACCCCCCCCCCCCCCCCCCCCACGTTGCTCGACAGATAAGAACAGGCTTCACTATCAAGAACCTGATGTTTCTCAAGCGGTTGGTCGCCGTCTCTTCCAACAACTCTCAAGGCCAAACTTACATGGCGAGATATATCACTTCCCACCACAACTCCGCTCACTCCGAGAAAGGAACCAAACAAACAACCCAAATTGAAAACACAGTCGAAAACGAACTTCCCCGCATGGCACAGAGAAAACAACACTCCAACTGTCCCTTCAACCCTGAAGAGAGACTTAGAACCAGGACATCGAAAAGCAACTTGACAGAAAGCTCGCTTTGTGGCCCCCGTGTAGCGATCACTCACTCACTCACTCTCTCTACGCTGGACCACCGCCGAGATTGCTCTCAGCAACCAATCCATACTCTGGTGGCGAGGTAGTTAAATGGGTCTTGCAGAGGAGCTTGCAGAGAAGAAGCGTTAGAAGAAAAAAAGGGGCTGAAAACGGGGTCTTCTTGGTGCTTTTTTTCTCCACAAGCTCTCTGTTTATTATTTGTTCTACTTTTTTCTTCGTTTTTTCCTTCATTGGTTTTGTCACGGTGTATTTTGGATTGTAGCATCGAATGGAGGTGGAGCTGCTCCAGAAACACGCACGTTGGGGAAGAAGGTTCGCATCGCAAATCAAGTTCAACTCCTCACTCGCTTTCATCTCTTCTTCTTCAACATCATCATCCTCATGTTCATTTTCTCAGGCTTTAGGTTGACCAACTTGGGTAAGCACCATATAACTTACTGCAGCAGCCGAAGGAGCAGGAGCACAACTACGTCAAGCCCCATCCAAACGAAAACAACTGATGTAAAAACAACACACAATACGAAGATGAAGATGATCTTTACACAGAAAGTTAGATAGACAGACAGACAGACACACACACACAAACTTACATTAGTATATTCGAGAAAGAAAAAAACAGTCATTTCATGTGTTTTCAAATAGTGGTTATTTTAAAGGGTGGTTTTCTAAAGTTGGGTATGTGGGTTTGGGTTTGAAGATCTGGTGGTTGGAATTGTATTGATGGATTTTAATATGGTGTTCATTTCATGGGAGATGGTTCGGTTATGAAAATAAAATAGGAGTTTTATATATCTCATGATAAAGTGATTTGGAATGTCTATTTATGAAGCATATTTTTTTTTGATGGACCTTATTTGGGGGTAGATGGCGAGTATTCCTTTTCTACCTTTGCTCTTCTTCTTTTTTATATATATATATATATAGAGAGAGAGAGAGAGAGAGAGAGAGATTTTTTATGATCTATATGTGCTTACAATTAGTTGGGATGATGTTTCATTTATTTAGTAGTATTAACAAAACAGAAGCCAGTGGGTTTTGTCCTGGTGGCTGGTGTGTGTGTGTGCACGTGGCAGTTGGCATATTACATTTGAGAGATGCATTCTGCCTTGGGAAATGAGAAAAAACAAAAAAATAGAAAGAGTGAAAAAACAGTCCTGAAAACTGGGTTTAGTCACTGTTCCTCTTCTCACCTGCAGGCTGTGAAATGGGGCATAATGGGCATAGACACTTGCATCAAAAATCATGAGATTTTTCTGTTGTAAATGATGATCCAGAATATACAAAACAATCCCTTTCCTACCTCCCAACTGTTGTTATTCATTACAGTTTCATGATATTTCTGTGTATGTGTGTGTGTGTGTGTTACACATATACTTGCATAAACTTGTCTTGCTGAGTTACCGAACAAGTCCCAATAAAATGTACATATTTTATATAAAAACTTTGCACAAATTTATAGGAGGATTATGTATATATATATATATATATATATATAGTGTAAAAGGTTGTCCACTTTCACATACCCTACACCCTTGACATTGCAATCTTCTTAAGTGGACTTGTTCTTTGTAGCTTTGGAAAAAAATTCTTTAAAACTTTGCATCTCATGCTTGCAAAATAACTTGGAAGTGCATGTAGCATCTTGGCCAATAAAAGAACTCTTTTTTAGTCTTTGGTGTTATCTTCATCTCCCCTCATATATATATATATATATATATATATATTTTTTGATCCACCCATTATCATTAGTTTTTGACCAATGTGGATCCAACAGTGGAGAATTTTTTGACGATGGTTAGGGTGGGTGGGTCAATTTAGTAAATGCTTGGGTGAATTTAACAATTCCCTTTATATATTAATATATATATATATATATATATATATGGTTGATTAGCAAGAACCATATGTTCATGTATACAGGACTTGCAAAACAGCTCACTGCCTGTTTTTATTTTCATTTGATTGTTTCACATCCTTCAAAAAGGATACTTTCATTTTATCTATTTTCATTTTCACTGGCCTATGAAAGTAAAGATATATATATATAGTTCAACGAAAACATCAAAATATACATGTAACAGAGAGATTTTTTCAATAATAAAAAAAATCATTACATGACTAAATAAACTAAGCAGTCCAGTTGGAGCAGATTCTCCACCAGACCAACCCTAACAAACCCAACCCCAAGCATCCTGAACGTGGGGAAATAAACTATTTTACATATGGTGTATTTTTCGCACAAGTATTGGGTATTGAGCACACTCCTTAAAAGATGTGAAACACATGACTTTCCTTGCCTGAATTTGTGTGTTTTGGTTACTTCTTTGAAGTTCATGCACCCCACAGTATGCGCTGTTTCTGCTTACTCTATTCATAATTGTTGGCAATGTGGCCATTCAAAAAAGTGTCCAAGTGTTGCTTTTTGATCAATTTGTGGGTGTGAAAAGAAGAGGGTGAGATGGGGAAAGTATTCTTCAAGAGCCAATGTGACCCTTTTGATGCATGTGTGTGTAGAAATTGGTTTAAAAGGATTGCATGAGACATGGTAGAAAGTTTTGCCCAAATTTCTTCTAAAGAGCTTAAAGATGTCAACAACCAAGCCTTTCTCTTTCAAAAAAACACAAAAAAATAAATTAAAATGCTGCTTTGAATTCATCCTACCTAAAACATTATTTTTTTATTTTCTGTATATAAAAAAAGGAAAAAAAAGAAAAAAAAAACTGGAATGCAAATCCTTCTGACTTTGTAGCAAGTTGCAACAACATAGTAAGAGTCACTATTAAGGATTTGAAAATTATTACACCCTTCTTCAAACTTTTTTAGCCTTCAAAACCCTCAGAGAAATAGATAAATCATAAATACATGAATAAAAAAATTAAAAAAATTAAAAATTACACATATACTCATATTCGAAACATCAAAGTGTTTTTTTTTTTTTTTTTTTTTTTTTTTTTGTGTCTAAATCATGGCTGGAGAAGCACAAGTGTCAGTTATTGTCTTACAAATTGAAAACCTTCAAAATATTTAGATGTGTTTTGAATTTTATATTGTACATGATGTACTTGAAAATAACCACCAACAAAAAGGTAGTTATCAACTTTTGATCCTAATAATTCATTATATATATATATATATATATATATATCTATATATACGAATTTGGTCCAAATTGTGGCCACTTCTATGCAGAGCAAGTACAAAAACCATGGCATCCTATACTCAAAAAAAAGGCATGCAAAAATACAAATATTTGAAAGAGTATTCGAAGCTAACAATGACTGACCATTGCACAACCATTTTATGCCAGAAATATCGTATCTCAAAAATTACAAAAATTTAAAACTAAGTCATATACATAAACACACATGTTTGTTTAGATTCTTTGTTTTGTTTTGCAAAATTTTTATTGTTTTTTTTTTTGACAAATTTAATATTACTGAGATGGGTCCATTTGAGCATCAACTTTATATAAAACCTAACCAATAGTCAGCATTTTCAAGTGGTCGCTTTGTAGAGTTTTTTAAATATTCAAACTTTCTTGCAATGTTTAGAAAACATTGAAAAAACAATACTACATTTAAATATGGAAAAAGTGATCAGAAGGAAAAATTGAAAATTTTAAAATAACAACAATTTTCTGTTGATTTTCAAAGTAGTTCAATAACTCAGACTTAAATACCAATTGTTGATTTTAAACAAAAAAATCCAAACACAAAGAAGGGCTTTCATTATGTTCGTACAAATTTGGAGAAAAAAACCAAAAAACCAACATTTCATAACATTTATATTCAAAAATATATTGTATACCTGAAGTTTCACTCGAAAGAGTCAAACCTCACGTACTAAATATTTTTGGCTAAGTTTTTAGATTTCCTACAAGTCCAAGAAGTTTCACAAAATATTAAAAAAATGTATAAATAAATAAATAAACAAATAAAACCAAACCTGTATTCAAATAGTTTCTAATATCTGATTGTGGCCAAATTAGCGTTCATACAGTAACTGAAAAAAAAAAAACAAACAAACAAACAAACAAACAAAAAGAGAAGAGAGTATAGAAGTAAAATAATAAATAATAAAATAAAAATCAAGTACAGCAGAAAAAAGAGGGTTTTCGATGACAATAAGCACGTGCTCAGGAAACTGTCAATGATCCATAAAAATGCATAAAAAGTTGGAATCATGGAATCATATTGTGGGTTAACTTATTTGATATCCTCTAAAGAAAGTTCGTGATATTATTAACAGTGCATTCAGAGGATCCTACTCAATCCAACTGTAACTTAGTGCATGTGAACTGAGCCTAAATTGTTGCAAAAAACTGCAACAGAAAACACTATTCATAACACACACACACACACACACACACACTCATTTTCACATGCCATGTTCAACATCCCACAGTTACAATACAAATCTATTATTATCATTACTATTAATAATCATAACACTGCTTGCAGAAACCCCCACAACCTTACAAACTACAAAACCATTCTGGTGAGAGTTTTAATGCCATTTGAAGGGGGGGCAGGCTGAATATGGCGGGAGTGGTGGCGCCGGGCGACGTCGTTTGTCCACGTGGACCGCATACGTGGATGGTTTTCGTGGACGTGGGGTTCGTTGTTGGGGACGTGGATCGGCACCTGGAGAGACCCTTCATTGGCGTTTCCCAAAACCCTAAACCTCTCAGCGCTCGCTCTATTGAACAATGTCGACGAGGTCTGGTGTGGCTATGGCGTGAGATTCCACTTCGCTGGTCTGCCCTTCATTCCGAAGCTCATTTTGGGAGAATAGCAAAGCAAGCATGTGGGGCTCCAAGGGAGCGCGCATGTGGCGCAGTCTGGACCGGATTCGCAGAACCGCAATTTGTTCGTCGTCGTCGTCGCGACAGAGGTTTTGTAATTCGTCGTCGCCATGGCTGGACGCGGTGTCGACGTCGTTGCGGGGCGCGGATCCTGTGTTGGCGTCGTGGGAAGCAGCGTTAGTTAGGGATGATGCTCGTTTCTGCCTCGCGGGGAGCGTTTCAGGCGGTGCGCAGACGATGAGGTCACTGTCCATGTTTGCGCAGCAGAGTAGGGTACGAATTGCGGAGCCTTCGTTGTGTCTTTCTCGGCTCAATGGCATGGGAGTTTCTGATTAGTCTCTGGGGGAATTTCGTCTACTTTTGGTCTCGAGTTTTTTTATGGGTTCCTACGCTCATGTTGCTTATTTTTGTGGGTAGATCAGGCAATGTGAATTAGCCAGGGAGAGACTGCGGTTGCTATGGTTGCAGAATGTGCCCGTTTGTATAGTCCATTTCTCTCATCACGGTGGTTCGGTGGTTGATTGCTGATCAGGGCATTTCCTCAAGTCCTGTTCGTTTTCGAGCCACTTCTGATTCTGGTGAGAAAATTTCCTTATTTATGCTGCAAAAGACATTCACATTTGAAATTAGGGGTTTCGGTGGTAATTGAACATTAAGCCTCTGTCTCTCTTCCTCTGATTATCGCTGGAGAGATACAGAAGGAGACAGATGTAGTGTAATCATAGAATTTACGTAGTTTCTTACACTTCGGTTTTTCCTTCATTTTGTACTTGTCACAGACAGTTATTCCCCGGGTCCGAAAAAGGAGCCCCTTTTGAGGCCAAAAGAGATTGATGCAAATGATGACCTCGACGATGACCTGCTTCCCGAAGACGATGTCGAAATTGCGCCGGATAGCCAACCTCATCAACCTACGAACTTGGAACTAGAATTGCAGAATGCTCCCAGAAGGAAGCAGCGATTCATATTACAGAAAGCTCTGAAGATTCGCAACATGGAAACTGAAGGAAGACCTCGGAAACCGGTAAGGGCGTCTTTAGATTATGGTTCGAACTTTGAATTGAGCGATTTAGTTGAATGATAACTGAATTGGTCCCACCCCTCACTCCTTGTCACTACGTACCGAAATGAAGGCCATAAATGAATGATGGATCCATTGTTGTCCTCGTTGTACGAAACCTTTGGACGTGACCAAGGTGGTAAGAGTCAATTTTCAAGTCAAATTGGTCCATCATGACCCTAGTGTAGAGTTGCTCCACAATATAAAATACATATTTTCAGTATTTGATTGTATTTTTTTGTAGCAAGTCCACAGTAGTGTGACCTCGCTAATTAATGTTAATTGTACATACACTGCAGGGATTTACAATGAAGGTCGTTGATGTTAATCGAACATGCAAAGTGACCAAGGTGAATATCTTTGTTGCGTCTACGTTGCCGCATGAATGGGACGTTTACATATCTTTCTTCAGATGGAAAACGGAGCTTATCGGTTTTCGATTCCAGTCATAGATTGGACATTCACGATTATTAGATTTTCGTATATTTGACCAGCTATTTATTCTAACGTGCAGCTTTAGGTTCTTAATGAAAAAGTCTAATCTTATACCAAGAACTGCAATTTCCAGATCTCTTGTGTTGATTATCATGAACAATCAATTCTGTATGCTAGGTGAGCTTACCACGAGACATAGTAGCTTACTTTAAATTGAAATCTAAGTTGGAGTTATTTTTCGTACAGGGAGGGGGCATTCTGAATTTCACCGCTTTGGTGATTTGCGGAAATGGTGATGGCGTTGCTGGATATGGAAAGGGAAAGTCTGCCGAAGTGTCGGCAGCCGTTGACAAGGTTTGTCTCTTCCTTCGCAGTAAATCTTTGCCCTGGACAGTGTGCTCAGGTTACTTTGCCCTAAACTTGCTTTAGTTTCTGATTCACCTACAAGTTTGGTTGCTTAGACGCCTGGACACGTTCAAGTTGACATTAGTCTTCGTGCTATGATCATGGTCAGGCTTACGCACGGGCTCTTCGCAACTTGCACTATTTTGAAAGATTTGATGGACACACCATCTTTCATGAGAAACACTCCAAGTATGGCCAGACCAAGGTGTGTATTCCCTGGAGCTGTAGTAGAACTTACATATTTGACTTCGTTATTTCCTTTGGCATTCATATCCGACATGTTGAAGAGTTGTAAAATGTTTTGTCACTAACGGAGTACTACTTGTCACTAATCTGGAGTTTTTTTTTTTTTTTTTTTTTTTTTTTTTTTTTTTTTCCTTTTCTGTGACAGGTTTATTTGTGGCCGGCTCTGACAGGTGCTGGGATGAGAGCCAGCCATACAGTTGGGGGCATTTTACGCTTAGCTGGCTTTAAAAATGTTAAGTCAAAGGCAAGTTTTTGACATTTCTTTCTGAAAGAACTTCGGGTTGCTTGGAAGTGTGAGGTTTGAACTTTTCAGACAAAGCAATGTCGTTTATGGGCGACTTCCACATTTTTGAATGACATTGCTTTGTCATTTTAAATGACAAAAGAGGTTATGTTTTTCTTACTACTCAGTCATTTATTGCAGGTTGTGGGTTCGAGACATCCTCACAACACTGTCAAAGCTGTTTTTCAGGCTTTGAGTGAGGTGAGGCAGATTTTCGCTTTCATTGCTCTGTTTCTGGTACTTGCGGAAGTGTCCGTTTCCAACTTGGTAGTTTTGAGTGTTGAAAACTTCTATGTGCTGTCTGTTGATTCTCGCTCTAGTTAATATCTTATTTTCAAGGGAAGGCAAGATACTGATGTTAATTGTTCTCCAGATTGAAACTCCTGAGGAGGCAGCCGAACGAGAAGGGCGTGAACGCGTTACACATCATGCATAAGTCATCAAAGATATTTAGGAGCATCATAAGGCGTGAACTTGATACTTCCAGATTCCGAGTTAATAGCTGTAACGACCGAACAGTGCTCTTCATTAGTGCTTTGACAGTGATCTTTTGAATTAGCTTTTACAGGTTTCACAACAAATTCTAGTTGCTCTCATTTATAACATCCATTATTTATATGTGTACATGAGCAGTGGGTTGTAATGACTTAGATACGGTTACTACATCGCATGATTTGGTCACCGTCCTCAGCATATCTCAACCCATCACTGAGTTGTGAAATAAAAACTAATCCCACACTTTTGGACAATTTTATCCGAGAGTGTGGGATATATTTTCTCAAGCACCCATCTCGTTAAGAAGATTGCATCTTCCAGCACTGTTGAAGATGTCTCGAGTATATCTGCAGAAGCTCTAAACCATCCTGAAATAATAAATCCACTGTGGCCAAAGGTCTTTCCACCTTTCTGACGGCTTCTCTACCCCGCAAACGGAGGTGAGATGTTACACCAGGACGTTGGAATGCACTAATAAGACCTGGATATTATTTGTAGAACATGAATTTCTACAATTTCTTGATAGCCAAGGCTGGAGGAATAGCTAAAATTCCTCAGCGAGGCGTCACATACTTCTGTACTTGGTAGATGAAAATTAAAAAAAATGAATGCAGCAAGATAGAGAGACCTCTGAGCTGTAACCCCAGAACTTATACTTCACAACACCATCCAAATCTCAAAGCTCCCAGAGGCAACGATGTCTGTTCGACCATTAGAAAAGTCGATTTCAGAGAATGATAGAATATCGTGCAACTAACGTTGTGTCATGCTTACCCTAGATCCACCCTTTACGGGAGATGGCAGTGGTACTTAACCGGCTTCAGTTGGAAGCCTAGTTATCTGAAACAAGCATTCTTTGATTCTTACGCTTTATGCTACTTCATGGTATCAGAGCGGTGTTCCGCATAGGATAGTCACAAAGTGTGTGTTCCTCATAGGATAGTCAACAAACATACATTTCTTATGTATCAAGTCCTTGTATCATTGAATCTACAACTCATTTTCTTTGATTATATACACATACATACATGTATGTATGTTCCTCTATTCTTATCACACACTAGTCAATAGTATATCTACTACATACAATGTACAATGAGCAACTTAGAAAATGTATGCTCAAAGCAGACGATGCTTACAAGTCCAAAAAACTACAAGCATTGGACCATCACAATTCAAGTATCTTAGAGTGAGAAGACTTTTGGAATCTAGTCAAAACAATGCTAGTCTTAAAGACGAGGAAAAAAACCATTCAAGCCAAACAAAGACTTGGAGTCTTCAAGAGCCACCAATTTTGATACAAATGCCACATGTATGAAGAAGATGAGAGCAAAGGCAATGATCCAATTTTCACTCACTTGATCTATATTTCAACATCATCAACATTTCTGATCCTGAGACAACCTAGAGCTATCTCAGTACATTCTTTTACACCTATGCCATTTTAGATATTATGCTAGTTTTTAATGATTGAAAAATACTACATATATCTAATTCTTAGGATGTTGCTACCTTCATGCAATAAATAAATCAAGTTATTATGGGACCTTAGGTCTATTTAGCAAGAGCTATCTTCTAAAATTATAGTTCATAGAATATTAGATTGCTTATTTTGTAGAATTGAAAAGTTTGTATTTCAAGTCCAATCCAAAAGACATGTTCTTTCTTTATATAAAGTATGAAATTGCATGCTTATAGAGGAGACGAATGTTGCACTCCAAAAAAAAGATCAACTATTAGATAATATTTTGATGATACTCACTTGTAGCCTATACAACAAAGATTCAACAATGGACCATATAGAGGATGGAATTAATCACACGTAATAAATCACTAATAAAGTTGAATAACAATACAACAACAATTTGGATAATGATAAGGAAGTAGTCAAGATCCACTAAATTACAATTGATGTGGAAAGATAGGAGATACCTCTCACTTCTATAACGAACTTAAATTCCTACCATATCAACCAAAACCACCATTAGTTGGATGATTTGGCACATCAAAGAAACTTCAAATCATCTTATAAAACCAACTATAGAGTAAACATTGTTGAAGAATCTTCAATTAAGAATTACTCACCTGACTATCATAATAATGACGTTATCCTCAAAGCATTTAAAATACTTGTAGTCAATGTACCGTAAAGAACTTAGATCTTAGATTTGGATACTTTTAGATTTCTATGACTAAAGCTAAGAATCCTTTATTTATTTTATGCATACAAAGGATCAATCAATAGATAAGTTGAAGATCTTATATGCAATAATTAAAAAAAAAAAATCACCATACAAAATCTTGTACTTGCATTTTGATTGAGGTCAAGAATTTGTATCAAACAAATTCAATAAAGACCTCTAAAATTATAGCATAACTTATTAATTAATAGTAAGTCACTATTAGCATTAGAACAAGATCTTTGAAAGAAAAAACAAAACTACAATAAACAAGATCAAATCAATGCTTATAGGGAGTCATGTACCAAATATGCTTTAAACTGAGGTAAATATGACAATAATATCTATCATAAATACAACTCCAATTACAACCAATTTAGAAATAATTCTTGAAAAGAATTCTTAGGAATAAAGCTTAATATCAAAAACTTTAGAATATTTGGTTCATTGTGATATGTAGGAATAGATATATCAAAATGGAACAAACTTTAGTCTTATTTCAATATAGGAATTTTTTAAAAATCAAATAAAATTCCAAGGCTCATAGAATTTATCTACCAAAAGAAAGAAAAATTAAAATTATTAGAGATGTGATTGTAGATGTAACAAAATTCTTAAAAGCAAACATGACTAAGTCACTTTTTACATCAAAATTTTTAGATATACTTTACTCTAGTTTAACCTCCACTCAAATTGATGAGTCAGATGATGAAGACAAGACAAAGTTTATTACTATACGACATGCTTCTTTTGTTGCTATTGATACTTCTATAATTAATACATTAATTAATAACAATGACTCCTCTAGGCTATATTTTAGGCAAGTTGAGATGTCTACAAAAGCTATAGTAATGTTTCCAATGCCCCTCAACATACTTGAATGACAATTCAAAGAAACTACAAAATTAGTCACACCATTACTTGATAACTATCAATGAAAATCCTACTTAATACAAAGAACTATCTCAATAACTTTTCTTTTTACTAACTTTATGCTTTATAGTTCTAATCTAAAAAATATAGAAGAATGACTAATAGAAAATACATTTAATGATAGGAGAAGCTTTTTTGAAAACAATAAATCTAAAGATTCTACCTCATAAGGATCAAAATAACAATTTGATACTAATTTAGGTACACAATAACAAAGATAAGAGATCAAATGACTTGTATGGATGATTAATTATTTTGTTGGTTTTTTAGATCTATCAATACAACTAACATCTTATTGAGAGGCTATAAGAAATAAAAGCTAACAAAACTCCATATATGATAAAATAAAATTAATCTACAGTAATAATACTTAGTCTCTAATCAAACTCCTTCCAAATAAGTATCCAATCTCAACAAAGTTGGTATTAAAATTAAAATTAAAATTAAATAGAATATTACAAAAGAAGAAAGTACAACTAACAATATAGGATTTTGAATAAATTAAATACATCAACTTTAAAGAAATCTTTGCCTTTGTCATGAAGTAGGATACAATCAGATTGCTCTTGGCTTTTGTAGCTCAAAAGCATTGGCATCTCCATCATATGGATGTCAAGTTGGCTTTCTTTCATAGAGACGTGCAAGAAGAAGTTTACATTATTTAGTCCAAAGTTTGTTATTGAAAGAAGAGAACATGTAATACGCTGCTTACATAAGGCATTCTACAACCTTTGTCAAGTTTTAAAGGCTCGGTATACAAAAATTGATGCTTTCTTAAGAGAAGAGGACTTCACCAAAGTAATTGGTGATTACAATCTCTATATTAATAAACTTGAAGATAATATTTTATTATTAGTAGTATATATGGATAATATACTATTTTATAAAAATTATATTTAATAGATTATTTAGTTCAAATAAAAATTAGAATTCAAGTTTGAAATGAGTGAATTAGAAGATGGAGATATGACACTTTATTTAAAGGCTAAGTATATTAAGCTACTAAGTAGATGTTTCCTCTCACAAAAAAAACACTTCAACATGAAATCCTTTATCTAGCATGCATCGCTAATGAAATCTTAAGGATTGTGGATGTCGATTGGATTGGTGATATGTCCAATGGAAAAATAACTATGGATTTTCTATTCAATTATGGTGATAGGCTCATAATATAGCTATGTAAAAAACATGCAATAGTTTCCATATCATTTAACAAAGCTAAATATATAGATCTATCTACAACATCTTTGGAACCAACTATCAAGGATAAGAACTCAAAGAAGATATGTAAGTAAGTAAAAAATAAATCAAAGAGAGATAACAAATCAGAAATAAGAAAGTAAGTATATTTAATAAAAAATTATAATGGCTATTGTCAAAGGCTAGAAAATTAAAAACTCTTGAAACTAGAATAGAAGTAAGAAAAGAATTGATAAGAGTAAAGAAGGCTTCACTCTTGCCTCTATATATTCTATCTATCTAAGTGCTATGTGACAAAATTCTATATAACTTCTAACGAATATCTAATTTACAAAATATATGTCTTAACTTATAAAGTAAGTTTCCTATATATGTGCTACATTGTTAGCTTATATTACAAACTATCAATACATGTGACACATGCCTAACTATCACCTATACACATGTATAAAGGTGAAATTATATTTATGAAGCTTCTAAAAGCTTTTCGATAAGGTATTATCTAATTAAATTATTTTTATTTATTTCTATTTATTCATAATATTTGAATAATTATAACTATGTCTTTGATATTATTCCTCTTTTAGGGGCGAGTTCCACAAGGAATAGTGATCACATGTTGAAGAAGTCCAAGATGAGGAAAATTATATTTACTATATATTTTGATTGTTGTTTTCTTTAAAGGTAGTTGATAGGTCTTTTCAATGATTAATAATGTCTCATTCTAGGGAGGAAAGACTACTATATTATTTGATCATTATTGAAGCCTTTGTAACTTTTTTTAAATAAAACATTTGTAATACCATTAAGAATCGTTCTTACCTCCAATAAAATCATAAAATATCGAGAATCTCTTCTAAGGTTATATTAGCAAGCATATCATATCTTACCATCTATTTAAAAAAGAATATGTCATTCTTAAAGGTCTTCATCTTGATTACATCAACTTCAAGGCTATAATAATTACAATACCTTGT